GCCCAAAAAAAAAAAAAAAAAAAAAAAAATCAACTCCTGATTTAACAATGTTTTCACCTGTAAATTTTTGTATGTGTTCTATGACATAAAATCTTGACTTATTTGATTCTCATCTATAAACAATAGAAGCAGAAGGATATTAAGGTAGACCTCTAAAATTTAAATTTAAATCAACTAAACTGATATCAACTAAAAACCGCATCCAATCAAACACATAAAGCTAATAGCTAGCTAAGCTAACATTCTGAGCATTTGATTTAATTTAGAGCAAATTGGGTGGTTTTTAGACAAACAATTTAAAGGAACTGGAGGCAATTTGTCCAATAGAAATTAATTCAACTAAAGATATAAAAAAATATGAAAGGAATGATGTTGAGAGAGAGCTCAGAAACAATGTTATCTGACTACAGTGGACCAGAATACAACAGAGTGTAGGGTAGCTTGTGCTTTACTGAACACCCATCGGAGTGGCAGACCGTCCTCTGCTCTGCCATGACATGTATGGAAAAAGGAGGCATTAACAAAGGTAGACAACCAAGTCTGAATGAGACAACAACACAAAGCTGACCATGGACATCTGCCACAATAGCTAAGTCCTTGTCCAAGGACAAGAAAAAGCATGAATTCCAGAGAAACTTTAGAAAGCTTTAGGAGGTTCAGAAAGGTCCTGAAGGAAAAAGCCAATCTGAAGATAAGCCCAGCACCACATTCATTACCATCACCGACCTCAACTCAAAGACTCCTGTAGCACACAGACACACCAGCTGTCCTGCATCTCCAAAGATAAAGGCCTTGAGAGATAACATTGCTGATCTGAAGCAGAAGTTTTTTCTGTTTAAAAAGTAAAGCTTTCACCAGCTCAAGAACCTGACCAAACACCACAACATACAAAGATTTTGATAGCTCTTTTCCACCATCAGACACCTGGAGGCCAACCAGAAGCTGAAGAGAGTGAGAGAGAAACTGTTCAAGACAACATTAAAACCACAAGGTAGAAACCAGAGCCTTGGGACCTGCACCATGAGGCCAGATTAGCTGACAAGCCAGTTAAGTTTCAGTTTACTTTGCACAAATTCTGGGTTTTAGCTGTGATGGGCAAAGCCTTCTCTGCTGGCCCAAACACAGATCAAACATAAGAATCACCAAATTACTTTTAATATATTTTCCTAGTCATTTCAAAACGTTTCTCTTGGTTGCGCTGCTTCCAGTGTATTGTACTAGAGCTTTTAACCAATAATATTTCAGCAATCACGTTGGCAGCATCAAAGAAATCCAGAAATCTGCCTGGAGGCCTTCAGAGTCAGTAGTGCAGGTGTCTGTGGCATACAAACAGGGCTAAAGAAATATAAATCTTTATCTTACAAAAATATTTCTACAAAAATATGCTTTAATGAAACAATTTCACATGTATTTTGGTCTTGCCAATATACTCAACTTATTTGATTGATGTTGAAGCTTTAATTGCTCATAATATTTTAAAATCATTTCTTTATCTTATACAGTAAATGTGATTTTGGGTTATTATGTCAAGGATCGCTCCTGAAAAGATGCTGGTATAATTATAAAATTGGTTTTATTATTATGTAAATTTCACATAAATAAATCCAAGTTTGCCAAAAGCAAACTTCTCTTCATCGTGCAAGGAAAAGAGATTCAAATGTATATAAAAGTGATTTCTATGTCTAAAAGTAGAAAAGCAATTAATTAACATATGCTCCTTCTTTAACATTTTTGCACACAAATGTTTGTATAAATGTATTTCCTGTAGTAAAAGTGCATTTAAAAACTCTTTTTAATAACTAAAATTGGAAAATGTGCGTAATATATTTGTATGTAATTTGAAAATTATGTACCCTCTCCTCTGTTTTTTTCTTTATTTTTCTTTAATTTCTTTTTTTCTCATTTATTCCATTCTTGCTATGAAATGTAAAGTGATTTTGTTGTATAAAAAAACTGTTTATGTGTGTTCCTGTTAAAAAAAATAAATAAATAAATAAATAGCAATGAACCTGTTGCTTTAACCAATCAGATTTCGAGTTGGCTACACGCGGGTAATCTAGCAAGGGCACACCGACGTCAGCGTTTTCTCGTCGTTTGATTGGGTGGTGAGACCTAGCGATCAGCGTCACTCTAAATAAGTTATATTTCGAAGTATTATAGCGTAGATTATCAGTGCTTTTAAAGACTTCTCGCGAAGATGAAAAACACTTGAGTACAGTAGATTAATTTAGATTCATCACTTTTTTTTAAATCGCTGTCTGCGTTGATATTCTGACACATTTAAATTTCCTTAAGAACGTCTCAGTTTTCCAAGTCAAACGGTTAACATTAACGTTATTTCCCGTGGCCGCAGACCGGGCGGGAGACTCGCAAGAGAATGAGACTCATGGTGTGTTAAAACAGACTGTTAACAGTTAAACACGTATGTTTTTCTCTTGTACGGATTATTTAATGTTGCTTGCTCACTTTCGCTGTAAAACTGTGTTAACTAAGGTATTAACTGTGTTAACTTGCAGTGCACTGACAGGTGGGGAGACACGTGAAGACGAAATGCCATACGAGTAAGCAGATCAACTTTAAAATTCACTTGATCACCTTATTTGTTTTGTTCCACTGCTATCTATCTATCTATCTATCTATCTATCTATCTATCTATCTATCTATCTATCTATCTATCTATCTATCTATCTATCTATCTATCTATCTGTCTATCGCAGGACATCAAGCAATTTCAAGTGAATTTAAACCATTTAGACACAACAAATATTTAAAATTCGCTACTTTACTTTTTAAGATTAATTGTTTATACAATAAAACCTATAAAGTGTTATTTTACATTTACATACTTATTTAGTGTTTTGTCTTTGTACTTTATATATATATATATATATATATATATATATATATATATATATATATATATATATATATATATATATATCAATGTAAAATTATCCATTCTTTCCAAATACAGTCACCTTGTAAAATTATTTTCATGTGATATATATGGCAGAAAAACTAAATATTGCAATGTCGTTTTTTTTTGTTTGTTTTTTTCAAATATTGTGCTGCCCTACCTTAGACGCTTCAGCTTGTAATGATGGGCCAGTTGTTGAAGTGGGTTTCTTGTGATAGTAATAATAGCATTTATTTATTGTAGCTACATGAATTACCTTACTTGTTTGGGATGCAGTGTTCTGTTAGCCGGTATTTTTGAATATTATTTATTCATTGCTATGTATTTATTGATGTGGTGTCTTTATAATGGAAAGAGTTAAGCTCAGCTGCTCCATAATACCATGGCAACAAAGAGTAATTAAAGTCGAGCTGCCTTCAAGTTACCTAAAAGTCAGGATTGGTGCCAACTAAACTGAAACTTAACTGTCTAGCCAGTTAATACAGCTTCAAAGCACAGACTCCGCGCAAAACAACAGAACACAACATCTCCACTGCTCCTTTACCCAAGTGGTGCTCGCTGCAGCTCATCACCTCAAGGGGTCAGGAGGAAGAACAGTTGCAGCAGCACCACTCAGCATCATCCACCAGCTACAACTTGGTGCAAACAATGATGGAGAACAATAGAAAAAAGACTACATCATCATCCTCTGTGACTCCAACTGCACCCAAATCAACCATGGATGACTGTTTGCAAAGAGATTAGTGAAGAGGTTCTGCTGTCCCTCCTTAAACGCTGTCTTAAGACTGCTGCAAGTGAGACTGTTGGGTGCTCTATCACACATAATTTTTCACACTGAAACAAATTAACTTAACACAAGCAAGGCAGGCATAAGCAAGAAGCGAGATAAGCAGCCACTTAGGGCCCTGGCCAATCAATGCTGTCATATCTTGTAAAATCTGTCTATAACCATTAAGATTTTAACGTTATTACTTCTTTTCAAAACCAGGGACCCCCATGAATAATAGAACATTCCTTCTGTACTGCACTTGCATGTGCTGTGATTGCTTCAAAAACACTGCCAGTCTGCCTGCGATTAGAGTAGAGGTAGTAGAGCAGAGGCGGAATCGCCACTCATTTATTCATTCATTGTCTTTTCGGCTTAGTCCCTTTTGGAATCACCACTGTAGGACTTTTGTTATGGACAATTGTTATGTTGTTTTTTTCAGTGACAAACATTTAGCATCAAAGTATTTTACAATATTTAAAACTACAAAAATAGAAGACATTAATGTATTTTTGATACAAAACATTAAGCCATTTCCATCAACCCTATCATAAGTATTGCCCATCCCTGCTTATCATCATTCTAGGTAATTTTCAGAATGCTTGCTTTTAAAAACAGGAGAATGCATATTAAAGCATAATGTTATAAGAAAGCTCTATACGTTTAGGAAAATGTATCTTTAAAAGATAGATAATACAAAATCTATTTTTATTTTCAGAAATGTTGAAAACTTGTAAGCACTGACATTCATAGTATTTTTTTGTCATACTATTGAAGTCAATGGTTACAGGCTCCCAACGTTCTTCAAAATATGGAAAGAACAAGATGGTTTTAAACAAGTAAATTGTGTAAATTATGGCTGAATTTGCATTTTTTGGATGCACATAAATACATAAGCGTGAAAAACGTTATAATCATGAACATGTCGTGGAGGTTTTGTTCTGTTTTACAATTTGTAAGTGGGCTGCTTTTTTGTTTTATGAATGGGGGAAAACGCAAGAGGATTAACCTGAGCCCTGGACTGTGCTTTATTATTATTTGTCTCCATCTGCTGACGAAAGAGGGAATTGCCAGATAAGAAGAGCCATGTACGTGTATCAGCCAGCTCTGTGTGAGACATGTCAAGTACCTCTTCGGGCATAAAGTTGACTGATTTATGAAAATATTTCACATATATTGAGCATACGTCTTTTAATCTCTTTTGTGTGATAAACGATTGCGGAATAATTTACTGAGATGAGTACAAATGACGCAAAAACAGAACAAAACGCCAACAATTTCGCGACCAATGGGATTTTTACGTCTTCATTCTTTTAGCCAATAGAAGCACAGACTGAAAGACCCGGCAGCTTTTTGATGACGTATGTGATCTAAAGCACAAAGCCGCGTGAAAATGGTAAGTGTTGTTATTTAGCAATATTATACAGTAATTTACGTTTAAGGAATTAATAAATGTGCTACGACCAATTGTTTAACATGTTTAGAGTTTTTTGACCACTGTGTTCGCGAGAAAGACAAACAATGCTTTATGCTAACAGCTAACGCTAGCTTTCTTCAAAGCCAAATAAAACTCAATTCTCAAGCAAGGATTATCCCCTTAATTAAATGCTCAAAAGAAACAACTATTGCTAACTCTAATTATATTGAAGTCTTAGTATTTCATTTACCTGCGTAATTTAGAAAGCAGTGATATTTGCTGTTGACATTTCTCATTTGGTCTGTTGATAAAACTTGATTCAATCGTTTTATCGATGTCTTATTCGCTGTCCGCCTCATATTTTGAGTGTAATTCCTTCAACTGTTTATTCTCAGCTCTTCTACTCGTTTTTTAAGTCTTTGGTTGGCAAAGATGTTGTGGTGGAGCTCAAGAATGACTTGAGGTGAGTGCTCACCTTTCTTTTACAAATATTATATATATTTAGAAATTGAATATACATATTTTATAATGTATGTGCCAGCTCGTAAAACTATGAACACATCTATTTTGCAGCATATGTGGAACATTACATTCAGTTGATCAGGTATAGAAACTTACTCCACACATATTTATTAATATAAACAAATATTGGGTGATTTAGCATTAAGTTAATTTTGTCTTTTGTTCTTCCCTCACAGTACCTGAACATCAAACTGACAGATATCAGTGTTACTGATCCAGAGAAATATCCGCACATGGTGAGAAATGGATGACATGAAAATTACACTCATAATCTTGGGTCTAATATCTTTATCAATGTCATGGAATTTTAAAAGGTTAATTTCAGACATTGAAATTTAGGAAATGTTTATATATTTTTGTCAGATTCATGGAATAACAGGGGTTTTTTGTTTGTTACTTTACATTTTAGCTTTTCTTTATTAAAATATATTTGACATTTACAGCCATGCAAACCGCAAGTATTTTTCTTTTATATTAAGTTAATTATCATTTGTTGTTCTCATAGTGGCTATTAAATGAATGTAATAAAATGGCTAAAACCATTTCAATATATTTTTAATTTAATATTAAAAGTTTTTATAAGCACTACAGAAGCCTGTTATGTTCATGTCATGGTTGATATATTGGTTTATGGTAAAAGTACAGAAATTAATACTATGAAAAATCTGAAAATAGCAAGTGTAGGACCAATTTATTTTAAAGAATATTCAAAATAAAAAAAATTTTGAATACTAAGTCAACTTTATTTTTTGAAATATGCCATAAAATATTTTCTGATTCTCATATAACATTGCTTTGGTTTTATTGTCAAAAAAACTAACTAGAAAGCAAGTGTAGAATTGCAACAGGATTTTTTTTGTAAACCAACAATGCTGTGTAGTGTAAACCATTATTTAAAACGGTCAAAATACGGTCAACCATTTGATAGAGCAGGCAGCTAAAGGGTTAAAGAGGGAACCCTGATAATTGAATTGATTCCTAAATTAATGTAGATCAGGTTATTAAGTCTGTGATTTATGAATTGTCATAGTGATGTAGGTGCTCAACAAGGAGAACTTTGGTGTATATAGATGACTCTAATATTGTTTTGTTGTAGTTGTCTGTGAAGAACTGCTTCATTCGTGGATCAGTGGTGCGATACGTTCAGCTTCCTGCAGATGAAGTGGACACACAGCTACTACAGGATGCTGCACGCAAAGAAGCTACACAACAGAAACAATAATGTTTATATTTGAGAATAGTTTGGTTTTGTTCCAATGTTCAGAAGCATCATCTGTGGAGTTTTGTTGATTTAAATGTTTTTCTTACCTGAAACATGTAAAGTTTTTTTTTTCTCTTTAATTTTTACGTCATGTGAAGCCTGTTATTGAGGGTGTGATTTACTGTTTTTTTTTTTTACTTCACAAGTTAGTGGTTGTGTGCTTTTAATGAGTGTTGGTAAAGTTCTGTACTGCATACCAATGACTTTTAGTTAGGTTCACACATTGATGCAAAAATAAAGTATTTTCCTCTGTTTTCACACATTCCTATTGGTGGGAAAAATCGTCCATTGTTGGAGTTCAGCTGACAACATTTTACAAATTATGTTCGTGGAATGCTGGTGTTTTGGTTTAGGCAGGCATGTCCAAACTCGGTCCTGTAGGGCTGGTGTCCTGCAAAGTTTAGTTTCAAACCCAATCAGACACACCTGGGCTAGCTAATCAGGCTCTTACTAAAAACATAATTGCAGATGTGTTGAGGCAGGTTGGAGCTAAAATCTCCTGGACACCGGCCCTCCAAGATTGAGTTTGGACACCCTTGGGTTAAGGTGAATGGATAGTTTAGCAGAGGTGTCAAACTCAATTCCTGGAGTGCTGCAGCCCTGCACAGTTCAGTTCCAAGTGTGTTGGAGCAGGGTTGGGTTTCAAAGAAGCCCGAAAGATTTAATTACTTTAATCTGGTTGTGCTTACTTAAACTGAACTAAACAGTGCAGAGCTGCAGCCCCCCCCCAGGAACTGAGTTTGACACCTGTAGTTTACAGCCTAGTCCCAAACTAAAAAGTAAGTTGTTTAGAGTAAAAGAAACTCGTAGTTACTGTTCCTAAAATATACCATTGACTTTGTTTTGTGTCAAGATTTTTAGGCACTTTTATGCGCTAATAAAGTAATCATGGCTTCATCAAAGCGAATGTAGACCACACTACAAAAATATGTTTAGGTGTTTAAGTTCAAAACAAATTGTCATCTACATTTCTATAAGTCAAATGACAAATATGTTAAGTTAAACTGATTAACTTAAAAAAGGAAAGTAATGAAAACATTTGTTGTCGTTTTTACAATGTATGTAATTTATTGAATATTCATATGAGGGAGGGTTACTATTTTATTTTTTTATATAGTAGTAAAGATTTTTTGAGTGTCATTTTGCATAGTACTTTAAACCGTGACAAGCCATGATTTTCAATTTTGATAATTTATTCATTTTTCTTCAGTAGGATACACCTTGCCTTACATTTAGTAATTTTAAATCCCTAAAAGTACCACAGGGTGTGCGGCAAAAAATATTAAGGAAAAAAAAAACACGAATATATTTCTTAATTTGTTTATAGCACAGTTCACTTTAAAGTTGCATTCTAAAAAGTTTAAGTAACATTCACAGGATTTGTTTTCAGTCACAATATATTTTAACAGCTTCTAATTAATTGTATTATAGTAGTTTAGAGTACCCTTTTAAGCATTCGCTAATTAGCTACCAATAAAAAATGTTAATTAGTTTGAACCTGCTGAACCACAAAATAGTCAAATTGGCATCAGCCGGTTTGTTCGTTTTCTTGGTCAGGTTTGCAGGTTACTCTTAAAATAAACAGATAGGCCTACGAGTTTAATGAGGATGGTAGGTGTGATTATTTTTATATGCTTTTTTAAATTGTTTATTTCTCCTTCACACATCCAGTGTAAACTCTAAAAGTTAATTAAGACATAATGGACCGTAATTTTCATAACACTCAAATTTGGCGAAGTAAATCCAATGCGGAGTTCACTTTGTAAAGATTTCTTTTTTAATGTTTTTTTTTTTTGTGTTTAGCACTACATCGGGTTCAAGTATTCGCCTTTATACTTAATTATAAAATTGGTTACCGCATAGACCACTGATTTCATGACTGGATAATAAAACATTCAAATGGCTCTTTTAGGATCAATGTATGAATGAGAACTTCGACATGGATGATGAGTGTTCTGAACTACACCACAGAGAAGTAAGTTTAGACGTTTATATCAACTAGCATATTCAACTGCTTAACTAATTATGAGTTATTGACCAATATAGCTGCCTGTTGACATTACCTCCTCGTTTAGATGAAAGACTGCATTGCCAAAGGTTCTGCTTTGAACTCCTTACTCCATGAACTGTTGGTAGAGAAGGTATGATTGTAAAGAACCAAAATAGGTTTTTATGTTTGCAGTGACAAACTTTGGTTTTTCTTAGGTTTCTACTCAGAAGAAACATCATTGGATTCTCGGACCTGAGGACCTCAATGATACTCTAGTTTATGATTTTGAAGTGGAAGAAGCAGCTTGAGATATTAGTCAATGTATGGTGATCTGTTCTCCTTTTGACTGGATTTTTAGGATTTTATTTTATTTTTTTAAATTCAGCTGTCTGTAAAACGTGTAAATAAACCATATGTGTTTACTTTTTTAGTTTGTTTAATGGAGAACCTCTCTCACAAAACCATTTTATGCAGACAGGACATGCAAGGTTTACAAAATATTTTGTATTTAAGTGCGTTGCATCTGGAAATTCTGTTTAAAAGGATCTGATAAATGCCCTTTTAAAAGGAGAATTCTCAAATCATTAAATGTCTTATCTTAAACACTTTATCTAAATTTACATTTAGCATCTGACTGGAGATATATTATAGGTGTTGCAGATGTGCAAATTCTAGGATTCCAGACTCCGCTTAAAAACAAATCAAACAATGAAAAAAGTAATAGAGACAATCATAGGAATGGAGTTGTTTAAAAAGTTCTAATAAAAATCATATTAGTTTTAATGAACCTTTGGGTATGTGTCTTCTATTTATGGTGAATTAAAACCAACAAATCCCAATTGAATGTCTTGAGTGAAACTATTAAGTGCGTGGGCTTTGGTTTGTACTTTTTAAATGGAGTTTGTCGTGGAAAAGATCGGACATTTGCGATTTGTAGCTATTGTTGTTTCCCCCAGCAGGAATTCAGACTACAATATTTGTGAGCTATAACTTTATTCATTAAAAATCATCAGTGAATGCAGAATGTGAAGAAAGAAGTCTAAATTTGAAAAGTAGGCAAATATACATTCGTAGACACGCATTACCTCTTGTGTATATAGAAAGATATTCTTTTAAGTGCTTGTGGAGTAATTAATTATTAAAAATACCTACTAACACAAAACAATTTTGAATGCAGGTTTCCTGACAATATTTAGTTTGAGTAACTGGTGTATGAATACAGGTTTTACTCTACATAGTACATGGTGAGGACATTTTGGATCTTTTTAACACTGACAAGCTTAGCTTCAAGTGTCAAAGCATGTTTTATTAAACCCATTGTGTTTTTCCAGATTTCTGTAAGGGTTCTGTTCAATATAGGGTAAGATTAAGATGTCCTCACTAATATAGTTAAACATCTATGTGTGCTGCTTAGTCTTATTTTAGTTAAAATGTATACCCAGAAGTGGAAGACGCATTAAAAATGTCTTGAAAAATGCAAAATTGAAGTGGATTGAATTATTTTGTTATCCTAAGATGAGAATGGGTGTTCAATGGTTTTAGGAAAACTCTTTAAAGTTTTGATTCCCTTCAAATATTGACTATAGTAAAATTGCAGAAATTGAGATTTTATTAGCTATAGAATTCATAACTAGTTAACCTTAAATGTCAGTGGCCCTGTTTCCAAAGAGCAATACTTAAAACAACTACAGCTAACAGCTAGATTATATTGGCTCAGTATAAAAACAATAGAGGTCAGTGGAAATTCCCCTTCATGGTGGAAAAACGTGTGTGTTGTATTTTGCATTCTAGGCTAAAACACTGTATGTTTTGGTTCATAGGGAAGCAAAAGAGTCCCAGGCCTGTTCCAGTGTAACACAACAGGATCTGATACCTTTGGTTTGTAAAGCAGATTTCTGATTCCTCCCCTTAACCCCCAGATCAACTTTTGTTATACTGCAGGCTTGCATAATATGACCTTGTGTTGTATGCATCTCGTAAGCTTTTTGTTGTTGCTATGACATCTCACATTACATGATATATTTTAGATGGTACAAACTATGGTAATGTGTGCTCTTTCCATCTGAGCAGTAGTTGCGGAGTGAAAAATCATGTCTTTTGTATATATATAAAAAAAAATAATTGTGTTTTTGATGGAGTTGCTTGTCATTTGTTGACTACCTGTATAACTTCTGAAAAATGTCAGAAAACTAAGCTGTTAAGCTTCTGTGGGTTATTCTTTTGTCGTGTTACTCTATACTTTAGTGCTTTTTAAAAGGAACTGATACAACAGAGGTGTGGAGCTTCCAGTGTTCCATTTCACTACCTCAGGCTTGTGGCGATTTGGTTCCCTGCTTTTTACCTTGACTCTCTAACAATTCTGCCTTTGTTGTATAATACAAGACTACCCATAATTCTAAGTATGGAAAAAAAAAAAGTTTTAAAGTAATAAATAAATAATTTTAAAGGCCAAGAAAGAAATGTACTAGAGAATAATCCGCAATGACGTATTTCTTTGAACTTTGAATTGATTCAGATGTTAGAAATGTTGTATAATTAAATTATATAAAGAGAATTGTGAATGGGATTAGAAAAATAAGGCTGACAAAGGCTTCACTGTCTGTCTTTTGCTCATTCTGCCCCTAAATACACACACCGGCCACTTTCTTAGGGATAAATTGTTAGAAATATGCAAGATTAATAAATTAGATTTTGGTTAATAATGATTAAATGTACAGATTTGTTTACACACCTATGATGCTAGTTCATCTCAAAGTTTCGTTATTGAAATGAAATGGTGAGCACATGTAAGTGTAATGGCGTAGTGGAATGGTTTTGACATGGCAAGCATCAATACTCTGATAAACTGTGGTATTTAAACAATGCTCAGTTGATAATAGGGGCCCAAAGTATGCCAAGACACTTTCCTCCACAAGTTATACCACAACTACCATTCTGGACTGTTGATGCAAGGCAGGATGGATCCATTCTTCCATGTTGTTTATGGCTATTTCTGACCTTGAGTGACCTGACCTATTAGACCAGTCAACCTTATTCCAGTCTTTTATTTTCTAGTGTTTGCGAGTCTGTGTGAATTGTAGCTTTACCCCAATTCTTGCCAGTTAAAGCCCATTTTCAGTGTTCAATGTGTATTCAGAGACGCTGTTCTGCAAACATTAGTTGTAGCGAATGGTCATTTGAGTTGCTATTGTTTTGTAGCAGCCAAGGGTGTCCAAACTTGCTCCTGGAGGGCCAGTGTTTTGCAAATTTAAGCCTCAATGCACCTTGCAAGGATGTTTCTAAAAAGCTTTGTAAGAGTTTGATTAGCTAGCCCAGGTGTGTCTGATTGGGGTTGGAACTAAACTTTGCAGGACACCGGCCCTCCAGGATTCTACACTAACATCTGGCATCAGCAAGGCATTTTCACAAAAAGGCAAGGCAAGTTTATTTACTCTATATTGCTTGTTTTATACACAGTGGCAATTCAAAGTGCTTTACATAAACAGGAATTAAAACAAGATTATAAGAAAATAAAAACACAATAAATGTGATTTAAAAATAGATTAAAATGTGTTAAACAGGTTATAAAACACTGAAAAAGAAAAGAAAAACGTAATAGTGTGATCTGTTGGACGTAACAAAGTGCTTATTCAGTAAAGACTCAGCTAAATCGATGTGTTTTCAGTCTTGGTTTGAACTTGTAATTTTGGGGCACATCTGATCATTTCTGCAAACTGATTCCGGCAGCAGAGGATGTAGTAGCTGAAGGCTAATTCACCGTTCATTGACTGAACTCTTTGAATTCCTAGTTGATATGATCCTAAAGATCTGAGTGATCTGTTGTATTCAGTGAGTATATCTGTAATTTATTGAGTTCCTAGGTTATTTAGTGATTTATAGACAGTAATAATACTTTAAAATCTATTTTGAATGTAACCGGGAGCCAGTGTAAAGACCTGAGAATAGGTGTGATGTGCTCTGATTTTCTGGTTCTGGTCAGAATCCTGGCAGCACGTTCAGGATGAGCTGCAACTGTCTGACTGTCTTTTTAGGAAGGCCAGTGAGGAGTCCATTACAGTAATCCACTCTGCTGCCGATAAAAGCATGAACAAGCCTTCACTAGAAACAAAGCATCTAATTCTTGCAATGTTTTTAAGATGATAGTATCCTAATTTAGTTACTGCTATGACATGACTACTGAATCTCATATCTGACTCCAGACTCCAGACACCAAGATTCTTGACCTTATTTATTGTTGGTTAACCTCTAGAGCCAAGGTACGCATTCACATTGAGAATGCCCAAATGCAGTGACTCCAGTTTTCTCTTTGTTTAACTGAAAGTTTTGGCACGTAAGAACTGTACAAACCCTAATAATGGTTGAGCATAGAAATCCCAGTTGATTAAGTTGTTTCTGAGATACTCAAATCGAGGTGATCTTGCTCTAACAACTTTGTCATGTTTAAAGTCACCTTTTTTTTTGCCCATTCAAGCTTTTTTTGGACTTTAGCAGATTGTCTTCATCTTGTATACATGTCTAAATGCATTTCTGCCATGTGATTAGCTGATTAAGTATTTGCATCAATAAAACAGACTCTCAATGGCTAGAGAATACTCATAATGCCCTATAGATATTTACATTAGATGTTGCCTACGGTGTTGTTGTCTATTGGAAGGAATGTGTCAATAGAGCCTCCATTTTAGTATAGGGTATAATGCTCATTTGAAATTAATGTGAGACCAAGGTGTAGTGGAGGACTGGCCATACAGAGCCATAGATGGGTAAACATTTATACATATATCTACGATCAGGAGTTTTCCCGGTGGTCAATATGAAAATTTTTTTTATTATGAAAATTAGAATTTGACATCACTTTTGGATGTATGGAATGAGCGATTAATTTGTGAATGAAGATCCATTATTAAGGGTTCGTGTGAACCACCAATATCACTGTCTTTCTGATCTAAATGGTTTGTAATATTTGTAATATTCAATAATTTAGGGTGGACAGTATGCCCATTGAGGCACAGGCACTGTTATATTATCAGGCACACTTATAAGTAACTTCAAAAACTAGCAGTTACTTCACTTAGCTAACAATAATACATGTTTCTGACACCGCAGCGTCTTGTTGTCATATTTCATTTACAATTGTTCGCTGATTTTATTCAACAACTAGCATTGGCCTAGAATGTAGTGCAAGTTGGTGCTACTTTGCCTTATGATTAAGGCAGTAGGAGACTATATTATCATCAGTAAGGTTACTTGTTTAGCACAAAAGTTCATAGCATACAAAATCATGAACAAAATCTGAAATGTTTATTCTTTGTTTGCTTGTTACTACACTTGTACGCAGTGCAAAAGTCCAGCATCTTCAGATTGGCTTTAGTCTTAACTAAGTGCAGTTGATTGACATTTGTCCTGGGAGCACTGTACAAATGTGGTGGTACTGACGCATCCTCAGGGTTCGTATGCGATATCTAGTGCATATATCTATGATAAAGCCCTGTGAGAGTTTGCGCACAAAATGAATTCTAACTAATTGAATTAAGAAATTGACATTTGTATACATGGACGCAATCAAACTAATTTTTATTACTAATAGACAGCTTTAATTTTTATTAACCAACATAATGTCACCCTTCTTGTGCACTCACAAATTCACTCACTTGTTTTCTTTCAGTCCTTCTGAAAAAAAGTTTAGGTCTACTTTAGATGTTGACTACAATATACTAGTGCAGTAATTTAGGGAATTGTGAATGAGGGTATATGTGGCTATTTCGGAAATAGCTATGGTGTCTGAAGAGT